CAAAGCCTGTGTCAGAAGGATGCTCCCTGGGTTGTTGTTTTTTGTTTGAAAAACTACATGTTACTCTTTTTTTTACCCTGATATGTTAACATTGGTTGGGACAGGGGCAAAAATTAAGATTTCATTGGGCATTTTTTCCCCAAAAGAAGGAAGGAAGGAACGTCTATAAATAGTAAGGAGCTGAAATTTGGGGTCATTGCTTTCTATTGTGCAAGTGACAATATATTAGAAGGAGCACATTGCACCAACAACAAAAGTACACCCAGTGTTGATTTTACCCTGTTGTGTTGGAAGAAGGTTTAATAACTTTTCCTTAAAAGCAGTGTCAAAGACTTTCAAAATCTCATTGCTACCACCAATACATCCCCTTGTGGCTCTTTCACCTAGTTAGCATGTTGAGCGTGCAATTAAAGCAATGCCAATGATTCATAATGCAAACAGTAAATTATGCTCCAAGCTAGATGGTAAAATTAGAATTCATTTCTGATGTTTACATGCCTGTCCAAAACTGCCACACTTAAATATCTGGAAGATAATTCCAAAAAGGTAAAAGCTGTCCTTTTAGAGAACATATAGTTGTTATGGATTACATACATGCCACTTGAACTCCATATACAAAGGATCACCGGCATATAATCCGGTATCTGATGCAGAATTTAGTTTTAATTTACTCCCAACAGAAGCATAAACAATCTTGATAACTTACATACTTTTATGTAGAAACAAACAAAAGAGAATGGCTGGTTGGAAGACAAGTTGGGTTTTCAGTCCTGAGAGTTGTGGATTCTAAATATGGATGTAATGGGGGCTTGGTCAAAACTTTTGGTTATTTACTAAGTACAGGTCATCAGAACCCTGGACAGCTCCCCATCACCCAACATAGATCACCTTCTTTATACTTCTTACTCCCAGGTCAGGGACTTACACCTAGGTCAGAGGTCAGTCCTCCTCTGTGTGGCTAGAACTGAATTGGCTTCTTTGCCCCCTTCCTCCCACCAGCACCTTCAAAGGAAGGAGGGAGGAGCTTGTGGTAGGCTGGTCTTTTTCTTTTTAGGCCAGATGAGTTGCAACAAATTTAAATGTATAAAAAATACCCCTATTTTGTACTTCTTCTTTTTTAAAAAAAGATTCTCCAAATAATTCTTAATCATGTGTTCTGAATAAGAAAGTATTCAGATTAGAGCCTCACTGGACAAGGAGTGGGGTTGAGTATATAAAACAAGTCAGTCATACACTACAACATTCTAGGGATGCAATGGGTCCAAACAGCAGGTGCCATATGGCAAATTCAAGATGCTGGGTTGTAAAACCTTAAGTCTGGAACCTCCTGCAGTCAGACATGCAAATAAATAAGACCTATATATAAACAAGCATATACACCGGCCATTTGCTGTTGGCAGTATTTGTATACTTTATTACAGCAGTAGTTACTTTAATGTTTTTATTAGAATTTTCTAACATGTCCCTACTGTAGTCGTGAAACTTGAAATCTAGTTTCCTGTGTAGAAATCAACAATTATAGTGTATCTAGTCCTTCCCTTAAGTGCTACCAAGTGTTTTACACAGAGAAACCCAATCATCTTTTAAGACAGAGCGTTATTATTAGTCCCATGTTATGGAAAGAGAACTGAGAATCAGAGATAATGGCCCAGGTAAAAGTCACCCCATTAGTTACTGACCAGTCTGAAATTTGAGCAAGGGATTTGTATGCTCATTTCTCATATTCCTGAATACAATTCTATACCAGCTCCTAAGAGCATAGCTTTCAATGATATTCTCTAGTGCACTGCATAAAATTTTTAACTGAGTAGCGTTCCATTTCCCCTTGCAATCAGGAATAAGTATTTGCTTCACGGCAATTGCTGCTTTGTTAAAGCTGCTATGAGGAAGCCCATTCTAGGACCAATTGCAACTATTAACAATGGATAGATAGCCCTTTAAAGTCAAAATCAATTTGAAAATGTGCCAGTTCTAATTTTTCAACTATTTGCATTACTATCAGCAGAATGAAGCATCTCTTTGTACTAGAAAGCAAAAGGAAATTGATTGGGCTCACTTCTCATGGTATGTGAGGTCAAAAGAAACTTGTGGCACCACTGTGGCTGTTTTTCTGCCTCTCTCATAATACTAGAACTTGAGGGCATTGCAATAAAGCTGAATACTGGAAGATTCAGGACAGACAAACCAAACTACTTCCTCACACGGCCTATAGTTGAAATATGGTGTGTCCTCTTACAAGATATAGTGGTGGCCACTAACCTGGATGGATTGTTAAAAGGATTAGTCATATTCATGTAGAATAAGGCTGCCAATAGCTACTGGCCCTGATGGCTATGTCCACTGTCAGAGGCAGAATGCTTCTGAATACCCTTTTCTGGGAACCACAAGTGTGGAGAGTGCTGTTGCACATGGGCCCTGCTTGCAGGCTTCCCATAGACATCCAGTGTGAGAACAAGATGCTGGAATAGATGGGCCTTTGGCGTGAACTAGCAGGGTTCTATGTTCGCACCACAGCAGGGGTGACTAACCAGTGGCCTTCCAGAGGTTGTTGGTTGCCGGATCCCAGCCAGCATGGCCATGACACGTCACAGATGGTGGGAGCTGTACTTCAGCAACATCTGGAGGTTTGCAGGTTAGCCGTTCTTGGTTCATAGGGAGTGTTTCATCCCTTTTATTTAATTTCTTAGATCATATTGCTCAAGATGTCCTCCCATTTTAGGATGATGGAGCTTATTCCCCTTTAAAAGGGAGAAATCTGAAGTCACACCAATCACAGAAACTTGGATGTAGAACCTTTTACAACTAGCAGGTCATGAGAAAATCCCATTTCTTTAACAAACTCAATAAAAATACAAGCTTTCGAGCAAGCCAGCGCAGAAACTGGGCCATTTCCAACTCACCTTTTACTCACCTGACTACACAATTCAATGTTACTACTTGTTCTCTCTAATACTTACTCGATTAACTATTTAACATACACTGATTCAATTACAAGCTTTGATGTGTGATTATTGACAGAAAGGAAGGAAAACGCTAATGTGAAAGAGGTTAACAGCTTTTGGGAAGGGGATCAAGGGATGGGACAACAACTCTGAACTATGAAAAATATGAATAAGAATAATTGTTGTTGTTGCTGCTGCTGCTGTTAAAAGGGAGGTGCGCGAGCACAGTCTGCTTGGAACAGCAAAACCAAATAAACAACCTGCCCCCCCCAATGTCTACCTTTTGTGGGGGAAATCACATGATACAATGTTCCTGTGACTGCATCATTTCAGAATGCAGATGGGACATCTGACATCTCCCTTAATGTAAGAACACCCTTTCTTCCTATAGAAAAGTAGCCTGTCAGATAAGTGTTCTGGACAAGACTTGTTCCTGTTTCATTAACAGTTTTCTACATGCAGGGAGGATAAGGTTTGGTTTTTGTTTTGTTTTTTGAAGGAGAAAGAAATAGAAAATGTGGCAAACTCAGGCAGACAATCCACACCCCAGCCCACATTCCGACCTGGTACAATCCTAGAAGGACTATATCATAACACGTGTTGGTTCTTTTATTGGGCCTTCCAGCAGCATCAGTCCCACTATCTGGAAACTGAGGTGAAAGCTTATTCTAGATTTCCCTCTCTTCTCTCCATCTAGCTTTGAAAACTGGAGAAAATTCTAGCTACCTTGATTTCCAACCACACTTTGTATTTCAGTCATTTTTGGCTTCTTGAGCCTTAAAAAAACAATCTCCATTTTATCTGAAGAATGCCTAGCCACACAATCTTCTCTAATGACTGCTCCAAGCAGATGAAAGCAATTCAGTCATTCTGCTCCAACCTCTCCCACACACCTCCAAAACCGAAACATTTCCTTTCATTAAGTAACGTAATTGTTTTCTCCAGATACTCTATCATTTGTCCTTCCTTCACCATTCCTGTGCTTTTGCTTACCCTTCATTCAATTGCTTAGAGAGTTGAGATTCTTAGGCTGTTTTTCTGAAGGTACTTATTCATTCATTCCATCTGATTTCTAAAAACATAGTAGGAAAGAATGCCTTTCTGCTTGCACAAGACACCTCTGGATTCAAGCCATCACTGCTGCTATACTTGAGCTATTTCAGCAACAACTTGCAGAAAGCTCAGCATAAGGCTGAGGTGAATAAAGCATTAAGCTGATGGAGCTGTAAAGCGGCAGTTCAGTTTCTGCTTGTGCAAGGCAGTCCACTCAAATTCTTTGGATTTTTCTTTTCTGCTGCAGACCCATCCTCCATGCCCCTTCCCAGGTTGTTGCTGAGTGCTGCTTGACCTTCAAGAGTAGTTTGTGAGGAGCACAGAGGGGCTTTTAGGGGTAGGAGGAGCTTAAAAAGCCCTATTTCATGAATGGAGTTCCGCTTGCTGTTCTCTGAATCTAACCCTATGCAAGGAAAGCGTTGACATTGTCAGCAGCTCCTCCATTTCCAGCCTGATCCCAAAACGTGGGTTTTAAGTTAGTGTGAATTATCTGACAATTGGTTGATTTATTTTGATCAGGCCACACATTTCTCATAGGATACAAGGAAAGTGCAGAAGCTTCCTATTGGACTTTTGTAATCCACTCAAGAAATGTGTTGCTGCATTCATGCCTTATCATCTTCAATTAGATTGTAAGAGTTTTGTAAGTCAGGTTCACAGAAGCTCTGAACGTCTGGGCAAGTATGACTGCTGCTTTTTCAGATAACAAAGAGATCCACGCAGTTAATTCAAGGCACCTCAGTCATTTCAAAGAGCAAGTTCTTTAGCGGTGTTACCCTCTGGCACATCATAGAATCATAGAGTTGGAAGGGACCCTGAGGATTATTTAGTACAGGCTTCCTCAACCTCGGGCCTCCAGATGTTTTGCGACTACAGTTCCCATCATCCCTGACCACTGGTCCTGCTAGCTAGGGATCATGGGAGTTGTAGGCCAAAAACATCTGGAGGGCCGAGGTTGAGGAAGCCTGGTCTAGTACAACCTCCTGCAATGCAGGAGTATGCAGCTGCTCCTTACGGGGATCGAACCTGCAACTTTGGCGCTATCAGGACCAAGCTCTAACCAACTGAGCTATCCTGTATAAATTGTCTCATCTTCTCAAGGATGTAATGGCCAATTTACTCTTTTGGCAGACTCAAGAGCCCTCCTCAAGTGTTAAAGCCTTCGTGTGGACAAATTTGTGTGAGGAATACAAGGGAGGGGGAGGAAGAGAAGAACTGACTAGTTCAGCCTCTGCTGCCTTCCACATGTTGGAGGAGAAGGTCTGCAGCAAGCTCTCCACACACTTTAGCAACCTGCATGAGCCAGGATCTAAATGACATGGGAACCTACATGAGCCAAACAATGGGCATGTGGAGCAAGTGCGGCCAGTTAGTGCATCTCTCAGGCTCTCCCTTATTGGGGGTTTTAAACTAGAGGTTGGATGGCCATTTGTCATGGATTCTTTAGCTGCGATTCCTGCACTTCAGGGGCTTGGAGTAGATGCCTCTTGGGGTCCCTTCCAACTCTACAATTCTATGATTTCTCACAATTGTATCAGCCCTTTAAACCTGAACAGCAGTTAAGCATTCAAACTTTTCCTAGATAGTACCTGTTAGTAGCTGCATGACTGAACATTAAACAACTTCCAGCTGCATGTCTGCATGAGGGAAGGTTACCCCCTATATACTATGTGTGAAGAGACATGTGCAAAGGAACATTAACACACATGACACCCCATCTGCCATGTAAAGTGGCAAATTCAGGAAAAGCTTCACCACTTGCTTTCGACTGCATGCATATAAACAGGCTGTAAGACACGGACCTTGGTCTAGGGGCAAGTACAGTGGTACCTCAGGTTAAGTACTTAATTCGTTCTGGAGGTCCATTCTTAACCTGAAACTGTTCTTAACCTGAAGCACCACTTTAGCGAATGGGGCCTCCTGCTGCTGTCGCGCTGCTGGAGCACGATTTCTGTTCTCATCCTGAAGCAAAGTTCTTAACCCGAGGTACTATTTCTGGGTTAGCGGAGTCTGTAACCTGAAGCGTATGTAACCTGAAGCATATGTAACCCGAGGTACCACTGTACACTGGTGCTCTCATTCAAATGACATAATGGGCAAAATGTATTTCGACAGTATATGCAAGAGTTTCAGTTGCTAGTCTTGCAGCCAGAGTTTTCTCCCCTGCACCTGCAAGAAGCCAGAATTCAATTTTGCTTGAATCTGCTACAACAGATTGTTGTGGATTTCCAAAAATAACTGCAAAAAGACCCCCCGCCTCAGATACTAAATATAAACCATTAAGCAGCCTAATGAATTAGAACATTAGAACTGTGAGGAACACTGATTCTTCCCCACTTCGTTTCCAGCAATAGCTAGGCTCGTATAAAGATGGGGTTTTTTTATTTAAAAAAGTAAATGAAGAAGAAGAGTTTGGATTTGATATCCCGCCTTTCACTCCCTTTCAGGAGTCTCAAAGCGGCTAACATTCTCCTTTCCCTTCCTCCCCCACAACAAACACTCTGTGAGGTGAGTGAGGCTGAGAGACTTCAGAGAAGTGTGACTAACCCAAGGTCACCCAGCAGCTGCATGTGGAGGAGCGGAGACGCGAACCTGGTTCCCCAGATTACGTGACTACCGCTCTTAACCACTACACCAACATGAGAAGACGCTGATGCAAACAGTACATTTCGAGTTCAACTTTCAGCAGATTTTTCTTTCTACACTGGTGGTAATGACTGCGGACTTAAAACTGTAACAAGACTTAAAATAACCACAAGATCAAAAGGGGAAGAATTCTGTTTTCTTTGAATGGCTTTTGTTTGTCTGAAAACCAGCAAGTGTTAGAAATAATTCACATTATTTCTGAAAGCCTGCAAACAAACATGAAAAAACAGTATTAAAAAAAGACCCACCCAGGTTGTGTAATTTATTCCCTTTAAAATAATAAGCTGAAGGGCTGTTGGCATGCCTGAGCTATCACTAGCTCCATTCCATTAAATCTAATTGCTATGCAATGGCAATTTCAGTTGATGCATGGGAAGAAAAGCAATTCCATGTAAATTATACAAGCCTCCAGCCACTGTAGAATACAAGGCTGGTTCCCTTTCATCTCTCCATGCTCCGCTTTGGAAAATAATCTATAGGATGGTAACATCCCTTTTAAACTCCATACTGGTTGTGAATGCCTAGAAGTTTAATGGGACTGTTTGAAGGATGTTTGTCTTTCACTGCTGTGTACAATCCAGGCCTGAAGCTAGCAGTCAGCCAGGTAGGGCACTTGCTGAAGGCCCCAAGAGCTCAGAAGGACCTTTCAAGGACCCAGATCCATCTGTGCCACGGCCACCACTCACCACCTCACCCCCACTGAAGCTCTGGGTGGAAGTGCCACTTCTGAATGGAAGCAAAGCTTGGTTTCCAGCCAATGGCCAGCTGCCATCTTGATTTACCCAAAGTGCGATGCCAAAGCTTACTACAAAACCTATAGATCAATAAGTTTCACAGATTCACAAGCCAGGGTATTGCATCTGGGGTATGCTATGATGGTGAGTGGCCACCACAGATAGGAGCTAAGCTTGGTATCCATTTTTAAATGGTGCTGCCACTCTCCCAACACTAAAATGTAATCTGGAAGGATGGTGGTCTTGTTATTGTGGTTGCGGTGGCAGTAGGAAAAAGTACTGCATGGCTTTGGCCATGGAGTGAGGTGCTGGCCCATCAGTGGCACTATGCTGAAGTCACAATCAATGGATCCGTGTGCAAGCTGTTCATTTTGACACATTCACTCAGATCCTGAGCTGCACCAGCGGAAGGGGTTGACACTGGGCAGCCTCTCTGCCCTCTCCTCCCCATGCCAGCATTCCCCTCAAAAAGCCTCTCTCACAGAAGGAGCCTCTGTCCAATCTTGGAAGACCTCCTTCTGCTCTCAGTCCTGAGTGCCATGGCCCATGCCATTCAGGAGGGTCCCCTATCCCACAAGAGAGGCTTTTTTGGGAGCAGGCTTTTTGGCTGACAGGAGAGAAGAGGACAGGGAAGTCTCCTTCGGTAGGTGTCCTTCTGTCGGAGCTTCTCAGAATCCAAGCCTTATAATTAATTTGCTTGTTTTGACTCCGTTAGAGCCGAACGGCATTTGATGCTATAGGTGTCATTATGAGCTATGCCAACATTTTAAATTTAATTACAGACATGGGGGGTGGCAACTTTTCATCAAGAGCACAGCTATGATCCTAACAATCCACCCACCACAGCAGTGAAGCTTAGAAAGATAAAGCAATGCCAAAAGGTTACTCGCCCCTCCCTAAAAAAATCTTAATAACCATCTTATGTAGTAACAGTATATTAAGATTTTTGAAAACTTTAGTGATTAAATCCTGAGAGACTTAAAACATTTCTGTTCAGGTTCAAGGAACTGAGTAATAGACAAGCTAAAATTAAACCAAATGACAAAATAAAACCAATGAAGTTCATTACGATAAGAGCCAAATGCACAGTGCCCTTTGCATGGCAAGTCATTGGGTTAGTTGAGTGAATGAGAAAATTCTGTTTTTCAGAAAGCAATTAAAGTGGATTTTAGTGACCTAAGGCTGTGTCAAAAGAGAGAGAGAGAGACAGACAAAAAGGCTTGCTGGGCAAGGATTCTGCATCAGTGCTCATCTCACATTTTTCAAGTCATTCTTACATCCTACACTATCCCTAAAGGATATCACCAATCCAATACTTTCCACAGATGCAAGTTTCCCATCCCTGAACTGCCTGCTCTAGTTCTTTTGCTGTTGTTTCTGAATCAATGAATCAATGCTAAATTTGAGCAACAGCACCTGTGCACCTAATACAGCAGGATAGTCGATGGAATGCCCTCCTGGACCTTTGGGCTCTTGCCAGCCTTGAATGGCATGGGCAGTAGTCAACAAAAAAACCTTTATTATAACAGCCTGATCTAGAAAATGGTAACAAATATGTAGAAAATGAATCTCAATTCTCCAGTGGAAAAACTATGGTGTGGTGGAGGGATAATGTCCTACAATTTACTAGCAGTAGCTGAGCAAGTCTTCAGCAATGGTGGTGGTTTTGCTGCTCCAGTCACCTTGAGGGCCAGGTGCATCCAGGTAAGAATTACAAGGGTGGAAGACATGCAACTCTCCATATGTTGTTGAACTCCAGCTCCCATGAGTTCCAGCCAATATGGCCAATGCTCGAAGATTATGGGAGCTGTAGTCCAGACCACAGGTTATCTGCTCTATACGTTTATATGATCTTTATTGTTATTATTGTACTTCTTTGCTTCTTTGACCTGGGCTCAAACATAATGTGAAGTCTCAGTCCACAATCTACAGTGAAAGTCTGTTCTATGGCTTATCACTTGTGGTTTGGCTTAGGGAGATAAACCATAGGCCTGAGTTTGGACATAACGCTCAGCCAAACCATGGCTTAGATCACAGCAACGCAGCAGTAGAAGGCCCAGAGAGGAGCAAAGCAGCCCCAGTCTTCTCTCTAGGAACACATGTATTTGCTCAATCTTACTGATTCATGTTTGGCTTAGTGTTATGTGCAGACTGGGCCACTATGCTGAAGGCCACCATATCAGCATTTTTAGATTTTAAATTTAGCAGTGTACATCGCCTTGATATTTTATGATATGGCAGTACAGAAGTACTTGTATAAATAAATACATAAACAAATACAAATTCATCTACTATACACCTTAAATGTCAGAAACTCACTAAATTTCTGAAAATTACATTTGGAGGCTTAGTAAGATTCACAAACAAAGATCCTACCTGGAACTGACATGAAATATTACAGTGTGCAAAGAGTTTGCTATTAGTTACAGCTCTAACAGACTCAACCCCAGCTTCTGTACATCAACAGTTTCTTTTTAAAAAACAAAACAAAAATAATATTTTTGGTGCTCATGCATTTTCATTGCAGTTAAAATTAAAAGAAAACTGATCACAATGTTAGCTAAGGATGACTTTCTATTTTAAGATACCGCCTTTGCACTTAGAGCAAAATAGAAACATGGCCAGAGGCTGGCAGGAAAATAGCAAAGCGAGAACATGATTAGAGAAGGAAGCATCGCTGCAGAAACAAACTGTT